AGATCTGATAAATTACCACATATCAAGTAGTCGAGGTCGCGAACGTAGTTTTCAAGATTTATGGCCATCTAGGGATCAGAGACAGATTTTGTAATCTGCAGCTTGTAGAACAGAGAAGAGAGTGGCTGATAACTACCTCGCGATCTGCCACACTTCATGACGAGTGTCAGTTATGTCGTGTAACAGAACTATCTCGCTGTAGTCCAATGACCGAACGACACGAATCCAATCTATATGCAGGCTTTTGTCAGATGATAACAGGCCTCGGATAACCTTTCGAGCACTCTGTCTGGATTGAAAGGGAATAAGCTCCGATAAGTAGAGGCTGGCTTGATACCTAACTATTGGGTTTAGATACTCGCCGCTTGCCGAAACACATTCAATGGAAGTTACCGTTGTCCTTTTTAGACCGGCACCTCTGTAGTCTCGTATATTATCCTTACCTACGAGGACCGTAAATGAGCCTAATCTGGACAGCATGACCCCTGTTTCGTCATTGTTATAGGCATTCTCTGGAAGATAACCCGTGTCTGGCCTACTCAGCTCCTGCCAGACCACCTTGAACTAAGATGTGACCTTGTGCTATTTGTTCTTGTCATGACAATTATAACCCATCCCCCTAGTTCTTCTCCGCGCGAGTCCTGGGTGACGCTTTGCAAACGCCCGAGGCCAGTTCCTGTCCAGGGGCTTGATCGCTTTCGTTGCGAATCGCCGTTGTGCAATGCCTAATTATATGCCAGGCCAAATGATCAGCTTCCATCTGTACGGAGCGACTCTCATAGTCCTTGATTTCAAGTATGCTGCACCGCTAGTGCCTAGCCATGGGAAGTTCCTCAATTGAATCCTTATCTCATACCACCGAAGCTCCATGACATGCCAAATTCCGCAATCAAGCAGGGAATAATAGCGAAGGCGCGAATAGTGACTCTGACTATGATCTCTAACCCCAAGCCCTAATTGTTGTAATTTATAGCTTTAATCCAACAATGTATAACTATAGTAGTAGATAACTAATCTATAAGTAAGAATTATCTGTAGCTCTATATAGTTACACTCCCATGTTTGAGGTGGTGAAGGAGTCAATATCATTCCGCTACGGCGGTTGTTCTGTTACACATAGATGGACGTTAGTCGTAATTTTATGCACAAGATACATTTGTTCCTTTTGCTTATGCAGCTTGGGAGGAATAGTAGATTCTCAGCTTCAAAACTTTTAATTCTTTCGGAATTTGTTTTCTTCTTTATTTTATCTCTTATATTTCCGAGTCCTTAGGCAGAATGCTCGCGGCTTCGGAAACGTCTGGCGATAAATGCAAAGAGCTATACTCCCAGCTATTTTCATATTGAGCATTGCTTTCACATAAGCGACCTCCGTCTACACAGTCACTTCTATCATAAAAGCCACGCGAATAAGTCAAATATGGCAAGGTGTCTCTATTCGACAACTCGTAGTTAGAATGTGACGTTGACGATAGCTGCACGGGATTTGAGACTGAACAGCTCGTAAAAGTTGATAATTGATAATGAGATGTTAAAGCGTCAATCGAAATGGGTGGCATGTGAGAGTTGGTATGTGATAGAACGGATGCTTTTGCCTCAATTGAAGATCGAGCTAAGGAGGTTAGGTATGCACTCTCTACCTCAAGATGGCATTTTATTGTAAACTCGCACCATTTTCCAATACATCGATGGCTGCTAGTGCATGCCGTAGCCGCTCTTGTAGCGACACGTTGTTTAACTCAAGGTCTTTATTCTAAAGCTGTTAACGAGGTTGTCTAACGTTGAACAGTCGATTCAGAACCTGGCGTTTGAGAGTATCGATCTCATCCTTCACTTTTTGGCGCGATCTCCGCTGACTCTTTCGGTTTCTTTCTCTTCTCTGTGCAAGTTGGGTGGTAGTGAGTTGCATATTGTTTTACACGGTTGTTTCCGATAAATACTTTTTCCGCTGGATGAATGATCCGTATAATTGGGTCGATAGAATAGATCAGGACAATATGTACATAAGTGATGAATTCTATGTAATTGGCAAGAAAACAACAATTAATAGTTCCAAAGATGCATCAACAAACTGATCCGGTGGAAAAAGAAGTTGTAGGGCCAATGATACGGCTAACTAGGCTTTGTTGACCGTGCAGCGCTATCCGAGCAGACAAGCGAATGCTACCTAGCACAGATATTGTAAGTCGCGCTGGTGGTATATGGTCGGTGACCCACACCTAAGATTTATTGGTGTAGTCGGTCGCAAATGGTTTGTGGGACAGCTATACCATCGGTTTTTGAGTTTACTCGTGGGGCTGACGTGAGCCAAGCTTCTTGTGACCCCGGTGTGCCCAGTTACATCGCCCCCGCACCAACCTCTAATTCCCGAGATTTTTCCGGTTGCTATGATTCTCAAAGCATCAATAACAAGAGCTGCTACCATTAACGGCGAGCTTGCACAACCTGATAAGTCTATAGCCCTTCACAACTTATTTGTAAGCATGAAGCACTCAATCTCAGATATCGACACTGTGCAGCAATCACGATGTACCAATCACATTTCGAAGCGTCGCAAACTACGAGCTGTCAACCCCGAGACGCGCCATACATCTCCGCCCCATTCGAATCCACCGAAAGTATCAAACCCAGCGTCACAATCATTACATGCATCCTCAGAATCATTCGCACGCACCGAAGACGCGCCTAAGAATACACATCAGCCTGTGTCAGATGAGCCAGATGAGAAAGCAGCGTCAATAGCACACTGGATCATAAGCTGTGAGGCTGACACGATGGCACCACCAACACCACGAAGCGGATCTGTTTCGTCCAGCCGTGGAAGACGCTCCTCTAAACGTTCTGCACGTGTATCTCGAACGCCTAGCCCTAGCAAACGAACGTCACCACAAACGTACCGTAATCAGAATATGTCTTACGCTGGAGTCTTTATTGACGACCTGATTGAACTTCCGCACGATGTCGAACGCAAAGTGCGGTATATACTAGAAGCAGAGTCTTTAGAGGACAGGATTGGCATAGCGGACGACGACTCGCAGCAGGCAAGCTATGTGAAAAGATTCTTAGATCAGTCGCGTTATCACGCAAGAAGTTGTTCGCTTGAAGGGGACTGGAAAGCCAGCTTGTTCAGCCTTATGGGCGACTTAGCACGAGATAACTTCCAATGTCATACATCAGAGAAACGTAAGTTCGCAGATCGTGTCTGACGCATTGTTCCGAGACGCTAATATTCCCTCCAGTCTGGAACGCCGACCTCAAGCCCTCGCCGCCTGGCGTAGCCCAACCCGACGATGAAAGCGACGCGTCAACGCCTCGCTTTCCACAGCCGACACCTGTGCTCGCTGACTTCGATTTACAATCAGCTTCCGGATTTCCAGGGCCAGTGCCTTCACTGCAACCGTACACACCTTCCATCGCCTGTACGACCAGCAGCGAAGCTGCCGACCCGTTCTACATCTCAACGCCAAAGCCTGACATTGTAGTAGGGCTCAAAGACAGAGATTTTGCGCCATCGCATCGAGTTCGGTTGGCCAAACAACAAAGCTTTGGATCGATACTGAGCGATCCGCATACGGCTGCCATGGGCTTGCGTTTCCCCTTTTTAATTGCAGAGACGAAGGGTTTGAGCCTGAATGGGGGTCTGGTGGCTGCGCAGAATCAAGCTGCTATTGGTGCCGCTTGTATGTTGAAAATACTGGATGACCTTGAGAACCAGGCCGCACTGTCCACAGAATCCGCGTCTCCAGCAGAACCCCAACTCTGTTTCTCTGTTACAACTGAGGGTCCAGTACATGAGCTGTGGGTGCATTTCAAACTCGGAGAGATGACTCATATGCACAATATCAGGACGTGGCGCATAACACACCCACCTCACGTGCGGGAGCTGGTGTCCTGCCTGACCCGAATTTTGAAGTGGGCGAAAGATGATTTTATGGTGAAAATACGAGAGAAATTAAATACAGTACCAGATTAAATAACTATTAGCTGCCAGTGTCTAGCCTTCACTCTTTCGTGTGAGTTTATGTTATCATGGTGGCACTACATTATACGTCTTCTCTCCCTCTTCTTAGCTTACCAAATAGGCAGTTGTAACGCAAGGTGAGTCTTTGCTATATTTATAAGCTTACACCACTAAAGATGCACTTAAATAGCTGCTCTACAGGTTCGCAGCAAAAACTATCCAAATACACCAAGCCCAACTACTGCACCTAAAACTTGGTATAACAGCTATGCCGGACTAGGAATTCAACATAACTAGTGTGCTTGTACTAACTCGTACTTCTTGTAAAGCTGTTCCGACATCCCAAAAACCAAATTGAAATATTTTTGATAGGTATTCTCATTGCATTTAATACACATAACTTTTCTATGCATGACACATCTCAATATATCATCAACTTGCTTCAAAAAAGCCAATTACCTTAAGGGCTTTCTTAACCATCGATATGTCCTTTCCACTATCAAGATAAATCGCCCCTACCAGCGCTTCAATTGTTGACGCAGCAGTCTCTTGGGGCACCTGGCCTTCTTGGGATGGGTTTTTCGTAATATAACTTGATATTCCGCTTCTGTGTGCTATCTGGCTCAATTTTGTGTTTCTACATAGATTTTTTACTCTATCATGGCCCTTATCTAGCAAGGTTAGTTTTTTGAAGAATGTTCAAAGACATGCATACCCACCAGTACTTTCCTCAGAGTTGTACCAGGGCTCTAGAACGACCTCTTGGAGAACGGAATCTCCTAATAGAGCCAGACGCTTATTGCCTTGAACGTCGCCTTCTATATCTTTGCTTGAAGCTGCCGCCCCTGCAGCAAGTAATGCTTCGTCAAGTAATTCAGAGTTGGAGAAATGATACTGGAGGATGGTCTCAACAGGATGTTCTCCCATTCTCACTGTAGTGAAGAATATAAATCAGAAAGCTATAGCTTGTAAAAGTTGTGGAGTATATATAATTCTTATCCCTTAAAAAACAGTAGTTATGTTGTAAATATAACTGCCTTATATACCCACGAAACAACAGAGAGGATCTGTGAGCCCTGTTATTCTACCATTGCTTTTTTTGAAAAGTTTTTGAACTTGTTACATTAAGATCAGATCTCGCATAATGATCACGATTGCGACTAAAGCGTACCAAACTCGAAAGAATCCCTACATTGACTAGTCTTGTTCACATGATGAAGAGGACGATTACTCATGATTATGTGATACAATTATCCGAGTCTATTGCCATGAAATTCTCATTGACGAGGTAAATCCAATTATCTAGTTGCAGTCTAATTTACAGACATTTGCAATCATACTCCTCGTATCAACCAATAGAAGTGTTGCAAGGTGCAAGGACTGCGAGAAAAGCAATTCAAGCGACTATCGGTAAAGTATTTAAGAACTGTGCGGAGGTCCTGCTGAAGAGAGGTATCGACGAAGAAGCCTAAGCCCGTGCTATTGAAACAAATCCTGCAGTGAAGGGAACTTTTCACTATGGTACTATGTGGCTGCATGACGCTTTTGCCATACGTGCATAGAATGGACCCATTTGTTAGAAAGTTTTCTAATATTTTTTAATCAGCTCCTTAGTCAGACTAAAAGCGGAGTTAGCGCGCTGATCAACGGATCTTACGTAGAGGGTGACCGTAGCTTCATTCTCCCACAATCACCTGCTAGTTGTGCATGCAATGGCCAATACTGTACTTACACTGTGAAGCAAGGTTTGGGAATCGTTGGGCCACAGCCTCCGCTGATAGCGCGGGATCGCTTATCACTGCTCACGCTGTTATTGGAGCTAAGAGCCATAGGCTTGAACTGAAACCGAATCATCAGACTCGACACCCGATTTAACCGATCGTCGTGTGGTGTCCTGATGTGCATGATAGACCTCCAGTGTGCATCATTGCAATTAAAGGCATGCATTCGTTGACGTCTAGCTCGCTCGTTGCAGAACAGGAAAGCGGTGGAAAAGAAGGTGCTTTTTCCAAGTATGATATGAAGGCAGCATTGTGCTTGCAGGGTGGTGTGCTATGGCTGCACCCGCATCGGTGCCTCCATGTCACACATGTATGCATCAGGACTGGATGCCGAGAGATGCTGCATAAAAAGAAAAGAAAGAAAAGAAAGAAAGTGAGCACTTGAGCCTTTCCCCGCAGACCTGAACTCTAGCGCAAGTTGTGGCCACTCACAGCCCACACTTGCTGCTTTACAGTTAAGTGGCTTGTTCTACACCTCGCACATTATCAAGTGAAGTGATTACGTACATGGAAGGCTGATTTCAGTATGTGAGAAGCATCTCGACAGCGCAATATTGACACGAGAAGATTTACACTTTCGATTTCCTGGCACGTGAAACAATTTCTGTCTCTTCCACTGTTACTATAGAATGGGAAGCAGCCATGGAGTTGATGGAGGATGCCTGTGTGCATACGCCTGGAGCGGGTTATCTAATGAGGACCAGGCTCTTTGTCACGTAAAAGGTAAGTTTGTCTCACTTTTGGGTGTATATATCGCTAAGTGCTCAGCAGTAACTTCGCATTCACAGAGGGTGGGGGAAGATGCCAGCGTCAGCTCATAATTCATAGAGAAGCTAGTAAGTGCCCAATTTCTAGACTGAATCAAAAGATCTGCCGATTCTGATTGCTCAGATGCTTTTTCAGAATGCAGGCAGGCTCATATCTGGTCTGTCATTAGCTATCTCGATAACTAATCTGCATTCCTAACCTAGCGCGAAAGATATATGCATGAGCGAATAGAAGATTGAGGCTAATGCGACATACAGTTGTTGGGCACACATGAGTGAACATTAGCATTCAGTATTGTACACGTGCGGTTGTTGATCAAAATCTACTGCATAGCACCCGTACACTAGCGCCAATGGCATGAAAGTACGTTGGCCTAATCATCTGGGGTAGAGAATGCTCAAAAGGCGCCCTAAGTGGGTAAGCGATAAGACTAGCGTTCTTTAAGATACTTAAGGTTGCATGCACATTGCAAATGAGGATGTGACTTGCAACAAATGGTCCACCCTTTACGTAGAGTGCACTAGAATTTCAGCTTCGCGTCGAGGATGATGAAATCCTTAACGGGCTCGAGCGAATTGAGGGAGACACCTGAATTGCATCACGGCCATCGTCCTATGCCTGTCTCTATGCATCTTCCGCGGCGCGAGTCCAAATAGGTGGCACGGCGGAGAGTCGCTGCAGTATTACATACTAGCCCTCAAGAAATCTCCGTTACGAGCGTGTGAGATTTGTCCTTTGGCAAATGACAGGGCTATCAAATAGCGGTCACGGCTAGTCAGACTGTATCAGCATACATGACTAACTAGTTATCCGGCTTTCTACTGCAGCGCCATTCCATCAAGTTTCCTGTGCAATCATCACGGACAGGGGGTCACACAGCAGGTCAAGACACGTGGCCCGATGTGATAGTGCGGAGGTGGATGAATGATCATTGTCTTTAGTTTATGTGGTGACCTAGCTCGCATTATCCAATCCCATAAACTACCCTCCTGTGATACGTAATCCAGCTCATCACACGGACGCGAGATGCGGAAATGTAGTCATGCATAATATTACGCAAACCCGCAGATATATGGATCGAGAAGAATGCAAGAACTGCGAAGCAGGTATGACGGGGTCTGTCCTGCAAGATGGCTACGCTTCTTATGCTTTCTGTCCAATTATTGGAATGGGATGTTACTGGCCGGCTTTCTTTTCTTTTCAAGGCAGATCGTGAGTCAATTAGAGTAACTCAGAGTCTCATTAGTCTCATCTAGATTCTCGGGCCATTATAAGAGGCCAAGGGTTGCTTCCACCCATAATGTGTGCTTCTCTGTTTCTTCCGCCTCTACTAACTATAGCGAAACCTTTGCATTCATATCTTGTTAACCCTGCTACTCGTTCTGTTATCGTTTCCAGGCGACTTTAACAACCTAGTGTTATCTCCTTTACCTCTATAAGGATGTTGCCTACTAATATGGCAAGTGGTATATCTAGCGATTCCGAATATGAAGGCGTCGAGACGCCAATTACGCCGCTGCTTATCGACCCGGATTCTGTCACCACGAGCTCTCTGCACGCTTTGCAGTCTACAGATCAGCGGAAAGTCATGGATATCGTAGACAAGCTGCGACGTACAGGTCTCAGTGGCATTGTGGAACTCCCCCAGCTTGTAGTGTGCGGCGACCAGTCATCAGGTAAAAGCTCTGTACTTGAGGCTATTACCGAGATTCCGTTTCCTCGCAAGGAGAACCTATGCACGAGATTTGCAACTGAAGTGGGTGACATCGCAACTGTCTTGGATATCATGTTAATGAGATTTAGATCATCCTACGTCGTTCTGCGTCGTCGACCAGCACGATCACGATTACTCCAGACAAGCTTCGCCCAAAGTCGGAGCAAGCCAAGCTCAAGTCGTTCAGTAAGGTCATGAACGATTTCAGTCAGCTCCCNGATGTGATCGAAGAGGCAACACAAGCGATGGGCCTGGGAGTCGTAGGTGGAATCAATTCGAGGGCATTCTCTCGTGACGTGCTATCGGTTGAGATCACTGGTCCAGCCAGGCCTCAATTGTACGTTATTAATGCGATACGCTAAAGGTATGCTAAAGCGTGACTAGAACTCTTGTCGATCTCCCAGGTCTCATCCATGCTACCAACAAAGCACAGACAGAAACCGACAAAGAGCTGATTCTAAATCTGGTTAAGGAGTACATGAAAAATCCGCGTACGATTATCTTGGCTGTAGTCAGCGCAAAGAATGATTATGCCAATCAAATCATTCTCGACCATTGCCGCAAGATCGACGAGCAGGGCCGTCGTACCCTTGGCATCATCACGAAGCCTGACTTCCTCCGCGAAGGCACCGATAACGAGTTGACCTGGATCGAGTTGGCCCAGAACAAAGACATATACTTAGAGCGGGGTTGGCATATGCTGAAGAACCGTGGTGATAACCAGATGCAATTTTCGTTTGAGCAGCGTAACGCAGACGAGGATTTGTTCTTTAGCAAGGGTCGTTACGCCGAACTGCCTCGTGAGTGCGTTGGCATTGGCTCTTTACGCGAGCGTCTCAGTAAGGTGCTACTTAGCCATTTGATCAAAGAACTTCCTTCTTTAAAGGATGAAATGGTCAACAAGCTTCAGGGTACCGTTGCAGAGATTGAGAAACTAGGGGACAGGCGCAACACCACTCATGAGCAGCGCATGGTCCTGATGAAGATCAGCATGCGAATAAGCGATATCCTGAATTCTGCTACCAAAGGCTACTACGAGTCGTCGTTCTTTGGACCGATCAACATGGACGCAGCTGTTGATGCATCTGAAAACATCCGACGCTTTCGGGCCGTGATTCAACACCTCAACATTGATTTCGCTAGCAATATGCGCTTGAGGGGTCATAAGTACACATTTGGAGTTGGACCAGGTGACGAAGAGCAAGAGATTCAAGATGATATAAGAACACGAAAAGAGCTTGAAAATCTCGAAGAACATCCAGAGCTCATGCTCCTTCCCAAGCCTAAAGAGCTTACACGCCGAGAGGCCATTGAATGGGTCAAGAAGACCCTGGAGCGCTCCCGTGGCCACGAGCTTCCTGGCACGTTTCAGCCAATGCTGATATCACAGCTTTTCTGGGAGCAGTCCCAACCATGGGAGCAGATTGCTTCTCAGCATGTCAACACGATTGCAAGTGCCTGTAGAGAGTTCATCGATATGGTTCTCCAGGATGCTGCTCCATGTGAGTTCAAAGACAGGCTTACTAGCCTCTACGTAGATGGCGCTTTAGCCCAAGCTCTTTCTGACGCGAAAGAAGAACTGCACAAGATTCTCAAGGACAAAGCTCGCCATCCAGCTACTTATAACCACTATTTCACCACCACTGTACAGAAGATGCGTCAACGCAAGCACCAGGAGATCATGGAGAAAGCCTCAAAAGCCTCAGAAACCAGCATTTATCATCGCAACGACGAGAACGTATACACGTATCTTGACCCTGGTAAACTCACAGAGGCCATGGAAAAAGCGATAGAGCTGAACATGGACGTCTTCTCAAGCCAGGAAGCTCTCGATACTGAGCGTGCGTTCTACAAAGATGAGATTAAGTACTTCGTCAATGCTATCACCAAGGCTGTTATTGAGCGCCATCTGGTTGCACCCCTCCCTGAAATCATCCTTTCCCCTATGGTTGTGACGCAGATGACAGAGAAAGAGGTGGAATTTATTGCTGCTGAGTCTCCTGAGATCACGCAGCAGCGCCTTCATCTGGAGTCTAGGAAGAGTATGCTGGAGAAAGGTTTAGAAACGTTCAGAGAAGCGATGGGAGGACTGAAGCGATAGCTATATAGAAGTCACACAACTGATCTCTGCGTTTGTTGGTCCAGAGTCTACTATGCTTTAATCAAAGCAGATGCATGACAGAAAGTCCTTTGTCGAGTTAAGTCATGATTTCTGTTGAATTTCACAACCTCGCACACCAAATCACAACAAGTACAACAACAGATCCACGCTGCCAATTGATGAAAACTCGATTGGAGTGCATATTTGAGCAGCATATACAAAAGCTAGAGTATATCGCGGTGAGAAGATTGGCACCAGCTGCTACAATGCATAGCAACGTGGAAAGTTCAAATAGTGGGGAACAAGAAACTAGTTAACTAACTTATTCTTCCTTTATTGCTGGGCTGGTTCTTTCTTTCCAGGAGAGAAGCAACCATTAATTCCATTCAACTCTATGCCCAGCCTTTTTGTATGAATTATCTATCTTCCATTAGCAATAACTAGGTACACTCTCATGCAGTTGCAGCTTCCGGTTTCTGTAAGCAGGCGACCTCTGATCCCACGCTAAGCCTCTGTGGCTTGGCAGTAATCTTACCCAAATAGTATTAGTTTCTGTCAGCGATGCGTCTTCTTTCGAACTCTCAGACCAATCAACGCATCACATTTACATGCTTTAACTATCTTTGGACAAGCGTACACTAGGCCGGTCCGTGTCCCGCGTGGGATAACAATTGAGCCGCGTGCGCAAAGCGGAAGCTGCAAGTGCATGAGAGTGTAAGTAGTTGCCAAAAATTTATAGACATGTATCAAGCTGAATGCATCCATGCATATACATAACCAAGTCCTAGGCCTCACAGAATAGGAACCTCCATTTATAGATAGCGATGCTAACCTGATATGGTTGTTGCGGCAGCTCACGTTCGCAAATAGTCGAATACGGATAAGCTCGCTGCCTGAGCAGTAGATAGGGCTTAGCGTCAGTGCCAATCCGTCAGCGCACACGCACCCTAGTAGAATGACCCACCCGCATGAGCTATCTTATGTAGAGAGTGGCCGTAGCTTCCTCCCATAATCGACTGCTACATACCCACCAATGGCTTGCAGTGCTGGGTACGTACGACAAATGGAAGGGAAGGCATCAGCCTCCCTTCCCGTGGGTACAGTTTTCCACCACGCTGAGCCATAAAAATCTAGCCCGCTTTAACGTTGATATGCAGAAATGACTTCTAATTAGGCAAAAGTTTTGGCTCCTGATGATGCTGATAAGTAGGTACTGCTCAGGCCGCTATAGTCTGTTACACAGCCATAACGTTGTTGGACACGAGATTTATACGTTGATATTGTTCATGTAGATTTGGAAGACACCAGTATCGTTATGTTTAGTAGGTAGTTACCACCAACCTTTTTTTTTTGGAAGCCTAAATTACTTTCGCTGGCTAGACGAGCAGCGAAGCCAGGAAAGATCTTGCGATTCCACAAATCTACCGGTTTTTCCGATTGATCAAGATTTTTTGTCCCCTCTCTCTCAGAGCCAGCCTTCCAAGTCAGTCCTGTGAAAACCGTGAAGACCGCCCTTACGACTTCGTATTCCAACCCAACTCCTCGCTTTTTGCATTCAGGATGCCTAAAGCCAAACCATTAAATTGCGTAAGCAATTTCCTAATCGCGGCTCCTTGAGCGAGCTCCATATGCTTGGCAATGCTTTGGTTAATCAGATCTCTTAGACCACCGTCGCCTTCGGGTGTAGTTGAGAAAGTATAATTTGCTGCGATATGGAAATCTGAGGTGTTCCAGAAATGACTACAGCTTTTGTTGAACTTCTCTTTCGTTAATTCCTTCAGGCCTACAACTTCGTATTTGTTAGCCATTTGGTATATTTTGCTGTATATGAGAAGTTGTGATGACGATCCGGTGAGTGCAGGAGTATCGCAGATCGGACAAGCAAATCCCCTGCATGTATAATCGCAATTTTGACCGCAGTAATGGTGTGGACAGAGTCTACTGTTATGACAATAATCATGTTCGTTGTAACAGGTATGGGGGAAGACGAGATGGTAGTCTAGTTTTTTGGATGATGACTTCCCATGCTCGACAGGCGTGGAAATGGCGACCATAGAAAATGATGCATCAGTCAGAGGTAGCTGCGGTTCGTATCCACGCTCATACAGATATTGAATGAGAAGCTTTACAGTCTCAGGCTCATCCTCGGGTAAGTCGAGTATGCCGCTCTCGGTTTCCTCCTCTCACATTAGCTAAGCTGGATGTACAACCAGTGTCTAAAGTCACTTACCTGCCCACCAAAACCAACCGCACGTGCAAAAAACCCTGCTCGATTGCAGACGATGACTTTGCGTACTTTATATGTATCACTACCGCACGTGATTTTGAAGTCGGAATAGGTGCCAGATGCTAAAGAACTGTATAAGTGTTACATAGCATCGACACAGTTATTGGAGCGAAATTTCCAACGAAATCCACACACCTTTTGAGTGAGTCGAGCAACTGCTTTTGCAGTGTAGTTGCCATTTTGTCGAGGAAACGTGGGTGAAAGGGACCAAAAGGAAACGCAACAGAAGACTGTTGTAAGAAGAGGCCGAGTTGAGATCACCTCGATCCCCAGAGGCCAAGCGGCGAGCGAGGTGGAAGAAAGTAACTACAGTAGCCAAGTAGTGTCTCGCACCTAAGGTGTACCAGTAAGCCTTTGTCTCCTGGTTTAGCAGCACGTAATCTGGGCGCAATTATACCTTAAGATTGCTTTTCAGCGTCGTTGAGTGCTTTCTTTACTTAATTCACTCCGGCAGTTGGATATTAGCTATCTTTTGCGTACTTGATTACGGGCCAGCGCTTGATATTTTGAGATCAAATACCTAGCACGCACTCTGCATGCATTCGTAAGCAGTTTATCGCTAACTAACATCCCCCGCTGCATAGGGAGATACCCTGTATACCGAGATGAACAGGACTACTGTTGCACGCAGAGGAGCGGTAAAATCAGTGTGCATATATTTCTGCTATCTACCATCTTCGTTTATCATTGGTTTATAGCCATCGCTTTTTCTTTTTGAGGTGGTGCATCCCTGTTGCCGTTGCAGTGGCATGTTGCTTTGGGGGCCTTGCATAGCCTGTGATAATTACTTTAACCATCAGTGACTAGAAAGCTTTTGCACGTAGCTTATTTTGCTATAGTTCTATAAAACAGTTTGCCGGAACAAGTATTGGATATATACCGCTACATATAAGTGGAAAAGCCTTGATGTTCTCAGTAGCTCCCCGTACCAGCTACAGGGTGTGTGCCACAGATAGCGCTTTTACGATGCAGTTGGAGACGAAAACCCCTGTGTGCCAAGAATGACCAATTGGATCGTAACGGCTAGACAGAAGTCCATTATCCTTGAGATCCGATTGGTCATTTTTGGCACACAGGGGTTTTTGATACACAGAGACGGACGTTGGTTAGGAGTATCAATTATGTAATGGACTACGCAAGCGCTCATAGCCTTGACTGCGCCCAACCTCGTTTTGCAAGTACTTTAAACTTTCACCGAACCGATTTAGTGTCTTTAATTTTCTTGTATCCTACCAATGATCGTAGATGCACTATCGCTGTGACACTTTTGAAGGAAAATGCGGGGGTAACTAACTCGTTAGCTAACTGCATATAAAGTTTGAGTCGTTCTATTGTAAAGCGACGTTTCGTGACATAAATTGAACCCATTCGTTAGAAGTTTTTTCTAGTGATCCCGATCATCCTAGTGGCTAAACTAATTAGAAACGGGGTTGTCGAGCTGATCGATGATCTGATCCCTTAACGGCTTGCAGTGCGGGGTACGCATGACAAATGGAAGAGGAGGCGTTCACCTCCCTTCCCGTGAGTAGAGTTTTCCATCACGCCGAGCAATCTATCTCTGCACTCGTTCTCTTGCAAGATTTCGGCTAGTATATATGCGGAGTGGACTTGCTTTAGTAACTAAGAGGAGGTAAGATGTAGGTAATGAACTGCGGTGTGGCGTAATCGAATAATGCATAGCAAGGTTTCTTTAAAATACTTTTTTTGTTGGGTACTTATGTAACCACTAGATAGAATGTCTAGATGCTTCCTAATAATATGTATCTAGTTTGTAAACTCGACTGCAGCTGCACAAGCCTAGCCACACCTTTTGAGTAAGGAAGGAAGCTACCGCTTTATAAATCGAAAGTATGCTTCTTTAAGAATTTGCTAAGATAGCGATAGTATATGATGTTGCGTATTATAGGGAAATGTAGATGGTCGCGGAGTTACGTAAAAAGGTCTTTTTACTTAGCTGTTGATAATAGAAATTCCTACATACGAGTATGTGAGATGTTATATATTAGACAAGAGAATAGTTAAAGTATAGTTATACTAGATATAATCCTAGGACTCGAATTCTTAATAGTCTTAGTTTGTACTACTTGTCTGATATCGATTGACCTTCTAGGCGACACCTTACGTTTCTTTGAGATATCTCTAGTTGGTCTTTCTGAGGGTCGTCCTGTGGTAAGTTCTGGAAAGTGCTTACTTGCCATCTCCTTAGATTGGAACACGCCATCCTCAAGAAGAGATTTGAGGATAGAGACGACGTTGTTGATATACGCCTTTATCTTTGGCACATTTTTACCAGTGAAGAGCTCACGATACTTTAAGAATACCTGTCGACGAGTAGGAGGTGCTTGAGCATCCATCTGGTCCCGAAGTATGGTGAATGCCGTATGGGTTATGATCTTGGAATAAGATTCTCCTCTTAGCCTTGGCTTGATATGGCCTCCGGGTTGCGTGTTCATGTCCAATGCTCGTGTCTAAAGTGCTGTGCGCTGCCATCCACTGTTGACGATGCTAGCGACGCGGGCAACGCGCTGGTCGATCAGCAGTCTTGGCGGCGCGCCACTCCACGGCGCGTAGTACTAGTTACGTGCCGCAAAAGATAATCACACCACCATGCAACAGCCCCAACGCTAGCAAGGGTCACATTTCTTCTAGAGGAACTTTTGCGAACTCAAAGATGTTCTTAATTAGGGCTTTTCCCCCGATCCACGTATGTGGCGTTAGGGTGAAGTTCTAACGGTGGGCGCAATAGTGCCAAGAGCCGTAACCGTGGCTAGCGGTGAGTCTGGTGGCGCAACACCAGGCTCAAAACAACGACATCTCAATAGAGCAAAATCTAGCCCTCACTGTGGGATGTCGACAGTTTTGGGCATCTACTAGTCAAGCATGCACATAGTTACGTAGTTATGGACTAGAGATTCTTCAAACTAGTTTGACCAAAATCGCTTTGATGATGATTCTGCGCTAAACTTTATGACACTACACTCTTGACCTCGCCCTATTCTGCCTGGGACACCACCATCCAAGTAGCGCTGGTGCGTACCTCTCTGCGGGGTTGCTAGTGCTTATAGTTGGCTTCACGAGAATACAAAAGACCGCTGCTATCACTAACAGGAGCATGATGACGGTCGTTTTAATACATATCTAAGATCTTCAAGACCGACGTCTTCACACTTTCCCAATCCCTTGACTGCTACCATTACATAGATACAACATGCCTCATGGCAGAACCGGTGCCTAAGAATCCGTCATATGAGGTTGAAAAGCCCAAGTTCTCGCAGTATGTTTTTTCCATCGCCTCTCGTGTGGCGCAACACTTATCTTAAGTAGGTTCCTTACCTCTTCCGTTGTGACCGTCACCGTTGCAAAGTCGAGAGCGTTCTACCTCCATTTCGACCTTCTCATTGCCGAATCAGAAAGATTCTCTAACAGCCTGACGGGCAAGTTCAAGGAAGCAGAGGAAAAAGCTATTGAATTAGTGGATGAAGATCCCGAGCTTTTTGGATTCTTTATTAAATACCTTTACCACAATCGATCTCTTCTTTCCCGCGAGATCCAGCATTACTCTGAATACGTGACGCTGGCACGCCTCTATGCCATAGGAGAACGCCTTATGGCACCGAAATTCAAGGCGTACTCTTTTTGGAGATTTGTCCAGTCACTAAGTAGCGACACGTTCATCTCAGATGAAAGCGTTTGTAAACTGCTCCGGATCGCATGTACAGAAATTGCGGAGAGAGCCAGAGAGGATCCTATGAGAGCTTACATATTCTGGTACGCAGGGGCGAAGATCAGCAAGCTTCAGAAATCTGGCATGTTTCGTCAATTGTTATGTGATAATCCGGATCTGGGCAGGTATTTATGCTTATGGATAGGTGAAAGTAAACCAGCAAAAGCGGACATGCCGAATGAGCTTCGATACCAGAAATTTGCCCCGGAAAGCGAGTACCCCATGCAAGGCGCCTCTAAGGCCGCTCCAAAGGCCGAATAATCTGTAGCTAAAGCAGGTTGTGGTTTCCCCATAGGAAGGAAAGAAAACTCAAGATAGCTTGTCGTGTTGCGAAAGCTGGAGTCGAAAATAGAATGTTCCATTTAAATGAGTTAGTTACTCCACATCCACAAAAACGATGCATGGTTGTGAACACCGTGGCGAGTCGGGCACCCAAAAGAAAAAGTGTCCCGTTACATCGTGCGTTCCGGCATATAAGGACGGACATTACTAGCAACTACTGGAGTACTGAGCTTACTCATATGTATCCTGGAAATATCTTCCTGATTCTCCCAATTTTCTTCGTGACTCGATGCGCCAGGTAGCGTCAGGCCTTGCCCATGTTCACCGACTTTCTGCGCTTAGCTACATACGCATAGCTGTGCAGCATACTTTAGCAGCCCCAAATTTCGTAAGGATGAAGCCGCAACTGCTAATGACAGTAATGTGCGACAACCAGAGAGATATCCAAACTAAAGACGATCTCAATATAAACAGAATAATCAGAATTGGTGATTCTAGGAAACCAACCCGGAAGATATTGTGTGCTGCACTAAGAGCGCGCACTAATGCTGGTTATGCAGCACCAATGCATATTTAATCAAGCTATGTACAGCCTTAATAACCCTTACTTTACCCACGCAAGACCTCTGCGTTTGAGACAATGTACGTCTTTAACCACTGTGTTACCTTACTTGCTTCTCTGTGCATTGAGTAACAGGATACGCCCTCGATGTCTTCCTTTGAGGGGCTACATCGGCAGAAGGACACCATATGCGTAAGGCTGTCGTAAACAGCGTGATACAGGTCAGGATCATCCCTCGTGCTCCTATACAAGATTGCTTGGGAACAGACCGCCTTTGCGTTCTCGACGTCGGTATTGGTACCCGCGATCGCCACTTGGAAGCAGTACATGCTCTCGTTCTTGATAACTATAATTATAACTTCAGAGTCTTCTTGTTCCGGCTCTTCAATGTAGGCAGTGTAGTTTTGGTCGGTCTCATGCGAGAGCTCAAGAACACATTGAACTACATATCAGGCCGTGTAGGCTATTTCGAGTTATTCTCCCAGAAAGACACCTAGGACGATATTCATCATACCTAGGCATCGCGAAGCAGAACAACTAGTTATAGCTTTCCGCAGTCAACCTCCAGGGGCGCAAATGTGGGATCTAAAGCCAGTGTGGCTCAGCAAGCCAATACAATTACCAAAATAGAGAGCAAGCACGTCGCTATAGTAGAGAGATCCCCATGGAATTACAGCTCATATATCTGTCTAGACAAGAAAACGGTAACCGTCTCACAAGATTTCGGGAAGATTGGCAACACATAGTTAGCAAACACAACAATAATGCAGCTAACCGTACGTTGAGGAAGCACACAACACGGCTACTAACACTAGCGACATCTTGATTTGACAACTCACGCCACCTATGAAAAACCCAATCGCTATGTCAAGTCTTATATTATCTTCATAATTCAAGACGACAATTTAAGTGCTAGCAGCAATTATGTATAAGAATGTCTAGGGGACACAGTTCCATGAATCTCTTCAGCATGTCGTTGCAAGTGCGTCTTGTCTACCAAGGGCACCATACAAAGCTTACAGCTAAGATCCCTCCTAGTC